CGCGCGTAAGCATCCTCTAATAGTAAAAGCTAACATGGCTGCCACCAGGGTTTGACCGGACTTCATACAAAGAAGTTCACTGATTCTGTTCTAAACTTTTTGGATTTCGGCATCCCATGATGTACCATTGGAAGGAAAAGATGTATAATATGCGCGGAGGTCGATACTCCCGCTGTACTGTCTTCGTGCATACTTTGAGATATCTTCGTAATAACCTCATATTCAGTCATGGTTTAGTTTCAATACTATATCTTGGCACATTTGTAACGCAAAATAAGACTCGAACTCGGCACTGGAAATATACGGATTCGGAATAATGTACACGTGTCAGTTGAGTGTTACACAGACGACTGTGTTGTTACCAGCAGGGCGAGACGTTTTACTCCGACAGAATCGGACATTAGATTAGATCGGTTAATGCAAATATTGTGAGAAGCTATTGCCCGAAACGACTGCTTAATATCCCAAATTACTATGGACGGCGACTACTAGTCAGCTACTTTTGTTTTCCTATTCCAGACAGGCCTTTGGGATAGGGGTATTGACGTACTTAGCTTTCCGATTATGACCTACGGGTTGTGACGTCATTGTTTCCCCAATTATCTTTATAATCAGGAAAAGTGGTTATTGTAATCAAACGACTTATCCAATATTTCCACTCATGAGACTGTTGTGTATAGTTTTATATAAAAGATGTTTATTTCGATTATTGAAATAATTTACAAAATCTCAAGTAATGGTATGTACATTACATATTTTCATCATCTATATATATATACATATATTAAATAAAAGCTTATCAGCAACAAAAGCCCAGCACACAAACAAATTAACTTATTTTCGCATTTTAAAACACAAAATTGAATATAAATATCAAGATGTTATAAAACAAATTACGGTTTCTGTACAATTCTGACCTACTGGTTTAACCACTTAGGTGAGAAATTAAAGCAACGTAGTCTTCACGCAGTGCGTTCGTTTATTTTACGAGAGTTGTATTCGTCGCATGGGGCCCATATCAACACGACGCGACGTGAAGACTGTGCGTGGGGGGGGGGGGGTGAAGTCATAGACATAACCAAGGCTATGCACATAAATGTGTTCAGAATAGAATCATACTAACAGAATACCAAGAGTTCGTCTGCTACTGTTGCAGTTCCAGCTAAAATATTAAGGTTGGCGTTAAGGACATGGATCTCTGTGCCGTATTTTATTTTTAGAAAACTGGTTATAATTATTCACAAGAAATAGTTATTTACGCGCTCACTCAACATATTTGCGCCAGGACATAAGGTGACAAGAGAGACGTGTAAAAATATTTTGGTAACGTAACGTAAGTTTGGAAAAAAAAAACTATATGTTAGCATTGTGTCTTATCGAAACGCACAATTTTGCATAATTCGTCGCAAATTTTCTGAAATTATGTTTATGCATTTTCTCAATAAACACTTCTGAGATTCTGACAAACTCAACAGATAGTAGATATAGATTTATATATATTTATACATATATTCATTATATGTCTATATTTATATCTATCTATATATAAATTACTAACATTGAGATATATCAGTACTGTTTATATGGAAGCACGATTAGGTCAAAGGTTACGACTAATCTGATAATACTGACAGTGACAAGTTGTTCAAGAATGGTTGCATAATTAACATGCATATACAATAACAATCAATACATTGCTCCGGGTCCTTGTTGTTTCAGCTTGGCTATGACGTCATTAATTGTGATGCTCACAATCCCCAGTCATAAATTTTAACAATCTACTTTGCAAATCAGGTTTTAAAGATTTAAACATTTACGAGCCGACAATCAAAAGTTGATATTGACTAAAAAAAACATCCTTGGAACATCTGTCCTTGAGACACGTGTATGACTAGTGATTCGTTGCCTGAAAGAATTGCTCACAACATAGATACTGACTGATATACATTGAAGTGGTGGACAACGAGGCAAATGCCGCACCATCATCTATTCAACTGAGCAGTTGAACAGAACAATGTTTACGTAGGCAGAACTTTATAAATAATATGCAACATTTCTCAAAAAGCATAGCCAAAATGAATAAATTTTGGTTTTCATCAAAACGTGCTAGTACACGACTAAAAGCAAGCACCGTTTGAGATTTGAGAAGAAGCTGTGCTAACCTGCTGCCCTGACCTGTAGATCAATCAGGACACTCGTCAGAACCCAACATGGTTTATAATTGACTCCGCAGTTTGGAAGGGCAGGTAGTTAGTGACACTGGAGACTAAATTATGTGAGCGTTTGAATGATTATTTTGTTGTCAGCAACAAACGCAGCTGAGTTGTTTGAGACCGTTTCCCGTGACACGGTGTTACCGTCTGGTATGCACGGTTTTTACTTACTCAACAAAATAAACGATGACAGCTTGGTGTTCTGGGCGATCCTGGCTGCCATTTTATATCTTAATTCGCATGCAGTACTCAATAATATAATCGTACGCACTTTTAGCACTAGACAGCATAGCTCACATCGTGCGTACTTTAGTCATGTGCAACATAGCTCACATTGTACGTACTCTTGGTACTCCATAACATAGTGCGTACTTTAGTATGTACAACATAGCTCACATCATGCGTACTTTCAGTCATGTAAAACATAGCTAACATCGTGCGTACTGTAGTATGTACAACATAGCTCACATCGTGCGTACTTTTAGTATGTACAATATAGCTCACATCGTGCGTACTTTAGTATGTACAACATAGCTCACATCGTGCGTACTTTAGTCATGTACAACATAGCTCACATCGTGTGTACTTTAGTATGTATAACATAGCTCACATCGTGCGTACTTTAGTATGTACAACATAACTCACATCGTGCGTATTTTAGTATGTACAACATAGCTCACATCGTACGTACTTTAGTATGTACAACATAGCTCACATCGTGTGTACTTTAGTATGTACAACATAGCTCACATCGTGCGTACTTTAGTATGTACAACATAGCTCACATCGTGCATACTTTAGTATGTACAACATAGCTCACACCGTGTGTACTTTAGTATGTGCAACATAGCTCACATCATGCGTACTTGTAGTCATGTACAGCATAGCTCACATCGTACGTACTTTTAGTATGTACAACATAGCTCACATCGTGCATATTTTCAGTCATGTACAACATAGCTCACATCGTGCGTACTTTAGTATGTACAACATAGCTCACATCGTGCGTACTTTTAGTATGTACAACATAGCTCACACCGTGCATATTTTCAGTCATGTACAACATAGCTCACATCGTGCGTACTTTAGTATGTACAACATAGCTCACATCGTGCATATTTTCAGTCATGTACAACATAGCTCACATTAATGCATATGCCCCTGTTATCTCGTTAGGTGTAAGTAATTGATCAAGAAATGTAGAGTCTTTAACAGTTCAAAAATAACTCCACGAAGCCGTTATCTGATTACTGAATATGTCTTGGTTATGACCTTTGACCTCTATTAGCCTGTTGAGTTTCCTTATTCTTAGGGTCAAATAGTAATATCCGCTTCGTACAATGTGCACCATAGTTAACATTTTTCATTAAACTCGAATTCTCGATTTCTTGTAGTAACGCCGATCATTCCATCTATTCTTGACTGGGAATTGCACAGTTTTCTACTCGATCAATACTTGTCGTTCGAAACCCTTCTTTTTCCTGAATTATCGCATCCATAGAATTTCACTTGATATCATTGTTTTCGATGATAGTCGCAGGCCGTTGCGCAGTAACGTCGCGATGAGCTTGTCTGGATGTGAGTAGACGGTGTGGTGCCGAGGTTTTATAGATAGCAAAGAAACGATAGAGTTACGTCTTAACGACTTAATATGTGTAAGCAACGTCCTTCTGGCTGACGACTTTGTTAGATTGTACATTGATTCGCATTTTATATAGAACATCCAAGAAACAGTATATTTTATTGACGGACATCCACAGATCAGACAATATGGACAAATGAGCGGCTTTCGTCACGTCACAGAAGCTCCGTCGCCGGAAGGAACACTCGTAAGAGCGGTGTATTGACTTACTTGTTACTAGCCTTACACGAACTACCCAATCCAAACAACATTGCGTTTACACACCAACACCCATACTTCTAAGAACACATGGCTTAATTTATGCACATCGTGGTTCTGTGTGCTTGAAGAAAGTTATCAACATAGTGATTTAAAAAAATAAATAAAATATAACCTAAAACGGTTTGCAGTTGCATGCTGGTCAATGTACGTCCATGCATGAATTCTCAGCACACGCAACTTGTGATTGTGTGTTTTCAATACTGTGTACGTTTAGGTGTCCGAGTAGTCCATGTCTTAACCATAACAACAAAACCCCATCAACAATTGTTAAAAGCAATCTTGCGTGCCGCCACATATCGGAAAAAGCCATAATGGATGAGTTTTCTAACTCAATACCTCAAGAAGTTCGACATGCTTTATATGAAATTAAATCATGTATACTTAGATTATTTGAATTCACAGGGGAGTTCTTGAGAGTATAGCTTTACTTATGAATATAATGTTAGTCGAAGTGACCGGCAACAGGAGACCGCAATCCACGACGATATTGTAAGTTGTGAGTGGCGAACGCTTGATTAGAATTATCGATTTTTTCTTCACTTCTGCTGTAAATTGCGTTCATTTTTGGTGTGTACAAACTTTTCTGCAAAGAAGAAGCATATGTTAATTTCGTTATACTTTTTTAAAACAAAATAACATTTTTATTCTGGATTTAGCAACAATTGACAACCATATACGCGCTCTTCATCTTAGGAATGGGTGACCTTCCCTGTGGTTGTCATGGGGACTGCCATCGAAACCAGAATCAGCCAAATTTTCTCTTTTCGATATTTTCCCCGACCCCGTGCTCTGCGTACTTTTCTTACGTTGTATGTCTTTCATGTCCAATAGAGGTATGGATTCCGTCAGTGGGCTCGTAGACGGCTTGTGTGTGTTGGTTGCATTTAACTCCGTCGAGTTCTTTGGTGTTAAAGAGATTTTGTCATTGAGGACCTGTGACCTTCTTTGCCATATCGGCGGCTCATCTTCTGCCACCATCAGCGGGGTTGTACAACTTGGACTTCCCGGCGACAGACTCCTGTAGTTGGCGTAGTTAGCATCGTCGCTAAACACGTTCTTTTTCCTTCGTCGTCGGTTAACGCGCTCCTCAATGTCTATCAACTCGCCGTCTACACTCTCTCCCGATGGAACTTCTTCTTTACTTGTATTTTCCCACTTAATGTGCGTATCGGCGACCGTTATATGAATGTTATTATTACTTCCGTTCACAGAGTTACTGTTGGAATCGACTGGTTGAGCCGTTGGTAAGTTCACGAAGTCTACCGACGGCATGTCATTGCCACGCGAACCACTGTTATTAGAAATGTTGAGGTCTATGTTCGAACCTACGTCAATCACAGACGAGTTTTTGCTTTCACAATCTGATCTGTCTATTTCGTTCTCGCTCACATATCCGTCTTCTGACAGTTGGTCAATAGGCGGCACACTGTTGTTTGATACTTTCTTATATTTTGGATCCTGTCCCTCTAACCAGTATGTAAGGATCTCACCCTTTCCCTTCATTGGTATAAGACCTCTTTCTTCGGTTTTGTATCCACCAATCTTATCAAGGATGGCCTTACAAGTTGGACTGCAGTGAATCTTTAACGCTGTGGGAGATTTGATTGAAAAATAAATAAAATATTGAGGAAATAGTTGAAATACAGTGCTAATCCGTGAAATACGGTATCTATATATATGTAATACAATCTGAATGTGTGAGTGAAATACAGTCGTAATATGTGGAACATAGTCGT